TGTTGATCTGACAGCCTCACACAGATAATATATCTCTATGTGATATTGCTTTATATCACCATGGTACACAATGGCTTTAAGGAAACCAGCAGGCTGCCAAGAAATCTTCCGACATTGTGCCCATCACAAATGGCTCTTCACTGAGTGATTGTTTGGGAGATTCCATTAACAAATATAAATCTGTGCAAGAGGGATGGCTTTGTTGTCAGAGTATTACATGTTAGCCACTGGGCAAGTTATAAAACACGTTTAAATGTTGGCAAGGACTTTGATCAGCTGTTATGGCCCTACACTGTCAGACAGGTTAAGCTGTATTGGCAGAAAAAACAATTAGATTGATGTACATTCCCAAAGTTGCATTTTAATCAAAAGAAAAACACAAACTTTTGTAAACATTTAAAGGTTCAGTATGAAATTCTGGAGAAAGATAATTGATAGTTGAGTCCTGTTCCCAGGTTGTGAAATACCAACGACCTTGGGTTGGTAGTCGGACCAAACCACAAACCCAAAGTCAGTATTTGACAGCCTGGGAATGAGACTAGACTATGAACTGTTTTTTCAGAATTACATTCCGCACCTTTAACTCGACCTAATTAGGATGCCAAGTGGAGGGTGTGGTTTTTAGTTACAACTTCAGTGTTTTGGACACATTTATAAAACTTGCTTTATTGTTGTGGCCAACCATCTGGCTGAAATATGCCACCTATAGTCATCCTCTATACACACCTGGGACTCCGACTACTGTGGCAGCTTGAATGTGTGCAAGCCCTCCAGGGCCCATCAGTCCACATTCAGTGCTCAGAGGAAACATGTGACATGTGGCATAATTGAGTCAGCCAGCAAATACTGTAGCAGAAATCAGCCAACTGACGCCACTACTCATTGCCCAGCGGGAGAGCTCTGAGCTGTATAGGATGGCATCAGAAAAGGAATGTGCCTGTTTCATATTATTAAAGGCACTGTTTTTCTGTTTAATTTGAGATAGCATGGAGCCCTGGGGGTAAGGGCGAAGGCAGCTGAGGCACTGACGAATGGGCTGAGAGCACCCTGCTGAGAGTGTAAGATACCTAGGTGAGAGATTCAAGTGGCAGCAGGGGAAAGAGAATGGAGGTTTAAGAGAACAATTTAGTACCAAAAGCAGCCAAATTCCCCCTCTCAGTTTAATTCGCCCTCCGTCTGTGGGCCATTCTCTAAGGGAGATTATTGTTTCCTCATGTTTTATTTTTGCTGGCTCTCCACTTTCTTTGTCCAAGGCTCTTGCTACATAAGAAATCCAGCATGATTCCTCTGGCCTCACTGGTTACTGACTCAGTGAATGCGAGTCAGGATATTATGGCTGTAATGTTGTTGTCATTGGATTTATTTATGAAGTGATTAATATTTATTTTGTGTCTGTCTTATTTGGTGGGTTTGGGGGAGTTCTGAAAGAAAATTGCAGACACTGAAACATGAAAATATGTATTTCTGCCAGCCTTCTGAAATCAAAGGCTTTAAAAAGCCTAATCCTGGGAATTGGGTTTATATTTTTTTAATGTGAAAGCAGACAAACACATTGACATAACAACAGTCAGCAACTGAAGTCTTGTTCTGATGTCAGTCTTTCTAATTTTCTAATTTCACCCACCTTCACTTAATGCAGCTGTAATTGAAAATTAACTTTTGTCGGGTCAAAACACATGCATTGCGTTTCTCCACAGATATAGTCACAAAAAAGATGCACGTCCATACAGCATGTTTTTTGAAACTGTTATTTTTGTCATTAGTGCTTTCATACAAAATGTGAATATTATGCAGCCTAAAAGCGACTATATATATTTTTTTTGTGGGTTCATGTACTTGAAGATTTTAATACAACAACACAAAGGTCCATAGCCTGAACCAAGAGGGCTAATTTAATTTTTCCTTTCAACCTTGACCTAGGCTGTGCATACCAAATCACACGCTTCGTTCTTACCTCTTATATTAAAAGCCCAAGGCATATTTATTGTGTGAGTGTTTACTTATAGTAACCTAGGCTATACAAAAACTCAGCTGCCCAGGGTCAATAGGATCCAGGTAGCTGTCTCCAATTCACATTGCTGTATGTATGAATAGTTTTGCTGCAAAATATTAACAAGTGACTATCTTACATGTTCGTGCCATTTATTCATCACATCCTTGGGCATACTGATCCAAGAATCAATGTATTTGAGGAGTTGTTATTGCTCACAAGTGGTAATAAAGTCCTGATACTGACAAAGATTGAAGCAAAACACAGCAGTGAAAAAAGCAGCGAAACAAATCTATCCGTGGAATTTTTTTCTCATAATGTGAACTTTAGAAAGGCACTAATCAAAGGGTTGTGTCCAGTTAAAAAAATTCTCACAACTCCTACCTTAAATGCATTTATTTTTATTCTATAGTCCCCCCTCTCACCTCGTTGCTCCTGTTAACACAAAGAAAGGTCAAGCTGTTGGCTGATGTGCATCTCTGAGCTCCGCTGAGTATGAAGGTGATACTGCACATCGTGTGCTGCTGTCCGAGCAGACTTAAAGTTAGAGTGCAGAGTCTTGTCAGCCTCTGAGGAACATACTCAGAAGACGACAGAAAATCAAACCACAATACTGTGTGTAACATTGGTACATGCTTGCACCCCTTTTAGTCCTACTTAATACAGTAAACAACAGCATCCCTGATGTCATGTGTTGACAGAAAGCACTGGAGCTAGGCAGGTGCCTTCAGCATTGCTTCTTCTGGCTGCCCAGGAGATGCTGCCTCTTTGATTGTTTCTTCAAATATGCAAGCCAGCGCTAGGGGAGCAGATTGTTTGTTCTAGATTTCCTGGGAGACTCCCACCTTGGGCTTGAACAGAGCGGTTGTGATGATTAGCAACAAAGTGTGCTGCCTCTCCCATAATCCATCAGGAGGAGAGGGGAGGGTCTAAGGAATCTTCTCTCTCATTTCGCTGCTTCCTCTCATCTCATTCAGCGCTCCTCACTGCTGTCATTCCAGTTACAAATGTTGACCTCTTGTCCTCTACATGGGCACCTATGTTTTTAGAGCTTGATGCTATTGAAGTGTAAGTGAAGAGTAATACATACTGACATGTGGTGTTTGCCCAGTGTGTGGCCTCAGTAATGTCTCCATTTTGAAAACACAGGTTCCTTCACTAGTGGACCAATTTGTCTTTTGTGCTCAGTTGTGTAACAGAGACTTAATGCCATTTTCTGGCATTGTGGGGGGTAACACAATTATCTCCTTGGCTCGAGCGAGTTGACAGACAGGGCCTAAAGGAAGGAGCTGCACTTATCAACCATCTACCCACTGTCACACTGACAGAAATGTTGGCGCACGCAAGCAAATGAAGAGGGGGATGTCATCCGCAGGACTGTGATGCACAGCTGATGATATGGCACATTATATAGTTCCGTTGTAATGTTGATGGGGGCTGTCATCAATAACATCTGCCGCTCAACAAATCAGTGTTATACCACATGTAGGCTGGCCTCAAGGCTGGACACAAAAACATAATGCATTTTACTGTTGCTGTTTAGCTTATTCTAGCAATGTGGAATATGACAGCAATCGTGGTTTATCTATTTGATATTGCACCTTGTTCAAGACATGGGATGAGGCGCCTGTGATTTTTACATATACATTACACTCAGTGTATCATCTGAATGTAGGATGCACTAAGAAGTTAAAGGTCCAGAGTGTAGGATTTTGGGAGATTTATTGGCAAAAATGGAAGATAAGAAGTATGTTTTCTTTAGTGTAAGATCTCCTGAAAATAAGAATAGTGTTTTCTTACCATATAATGAGTGAATTATATCCACATAGGGAGCAGCTTCTCGTGCACAAAGTCCACCATTTGCACTGCTATGTTTCTACATAAGTCCAGAAGAGACAAAACAAACACTGGCTCTAGAAAGGGCCATTAGTGTTTTTGCGTTAGCCTTCGTAACTAGCAGCCCCTACAAGATGAGCAGCATCAGAAAAACACACATATTTTAAAGGAAATGGCCACTTTGGAATGAAAATACAGACAGTACTTACTGACCGTCATGCCGACAAGAAGTCCAGTGTAGTTTTTTAATGCACAAAACTCGTTCGGGTTATCGGAGAAATTACATCTTTTCAAGTCAATTTTGCATTGGATTACACCGGACGAGCCTTTCTGATGTTTTTTGAAATGCATTAGCAGAGTTTTATTACGTTTTCAAAATGTGGGTTCCATGCACTTCAAGAGTAGCTGTTATTCTGGCTAGCTGTTATCCTCCCATACCCCAAACGAGTTTTGTGGATTAAAAAACAACACTGGACTTCTTGTCGGCATGAAGGTCAGTAAGTACTGTCTGTATTTTCATTCTAAAGTGGCCATTTCCTTTAACACAGAACTGTTTTATTCAGTGTTTTTACCAGTTTAAATCACCAGATGTATTTGTTTTGGAGAGGAAGAGTCCTCTGCAGATGACTCAGCTTCCTGCACAATGAACACTCATGGAATCCTGACAGGGAGTTCATACTTGGCACATGGGAGAAGTATCAGCTGGTTGCAATCTGCACTCCTCTCCGCTAGATGCCACTTGATCCTTCACACTGCTCCTTTAAATAGCCGACCAAGTATTTCATAGGAAGTAGCTCAAAGAGTAGCTGGCTTGTTTTGCCTTTTACTAAGAAAAGAGTGTTATGGAACCGACATGCTGAAGTTTTCTGGTATGGAAACTATGGTTTTTAATTGGTTTATACCATCTGTTGCAGCCTTACCCATCCTTGCCTGTCAGCTTACACTTTAATATGCATAAATGTATTTGCATTCTAATGTATGTAAATTATTTATTTCACTTTACCGTGGGAAATGTTGAAATTTCTTTGAACGTCATTTAATTCTTGCTTTTCTACACAGCTGAAACCAGTCAGTGTAACATTTTGATTAAATAGCTGGCTGTATGGTCTTGTTACATCGCATATAATTTCCAAGAAGTTAACATAGTAATTTTAATTTTTTTTCTTTCCTGCAGTGAGAAAAGATGTGAAAGATGAGACGGATGACAGAATGCAACAGTTCAAGAAAAAGGCGAAAGAGCTTCGCATCCTGGACGCCAAAACAGCTCAGAATCTTTGTAAGTATATATAGTTCTGTTTTTCTTTTATTTTACAGCCACTGACCACAGGTTTAACACCATTAGTTCATGAAGTACTACATTCTTTTTAACCATGACCTTTTATGACAGAAATGTCAGTGTTATTTTCCATGACACCCCAGGCATTTTCATACCCCCCTGAACAGCTCAAGAAAGCTGTTGGTGGGAAACAAACAGTAGAATGCCCTCGACAGTGATAGTGCTTTACTGGGCCCTTTTGGGAAATGTTTTCTTGGCAGTAGTTTAGCAGTCACCACAAGTGCATATAGATTGTGTCCATGCTCCCTGTCTGTACTCATGTGTAAAGCAAATTTCTATTAGAACAGACCACTAAAGCTTTGTGTAGGTGTTCTGAATCCCCAGGAGATTAAATGGACTAAATGTTCAGTTGATAATGGTGTGCAGTTTTTACCTCACCCTCCAAGCACTCATTTATTTCTTTGTGGTGGGTTGAAAGGTTTCTCGGTTGGGGTTCGATGCAAATGATCTACAGAAACTTTTTCCACCTTAGAATTTCCGAAACAGCTCAGCTCCTGCACCTTCTCTCTTCCATGTGAACCTCCTTGATCCCAAATCCATGAAATGTGTGTGAATTTATAACACAAAAAAATGAGTGACTCCTTGCAGCATTGTTTTGATTGGTAGGTCGAACATTTCATATTGTTTCCCCAACTCTGTGGGATTTCACTGCAGCCTTGATATCCCTTGCCTCAGAGATACAATGTAAATGACAACACCTTATGCAATATGCATGTCAAGTGCTAAGATTACAGGTCACCCTCCTTGCAACTCTTACTTCATCCTTTTTGTTTACCTATGTTTTTCTTATATATTTTTTAAAGGATGAGTGCAGAGGTATGCAGTGGCATTCTGCAGACTGGAATGAGTATATATTTTAGATAGATACCTTCCTGTACACTGGATAACAACCGGAGGGAAACTAGGATGTTAAAATGAGATGAGGGATTCATGTACATCACAGAAACATGACTAATTATATGTGCCTTCCAACCAATTCCCTTCCTGCGCGCTGCTAATATCTTGCAATGACTTCATGTTCTTGCGTTTCCATGAAGAGAGACCAGATGAATGAGTTCATCAGGCAAAATATTGGGATCTGATGTCAGAAAGGGGCATGTGGCATGAACATAAGGATGATGCACAGAAGCGTCTGTGTGTGAGTTTGTATGTGTCTGCGTGTGCATGTCATGGCACTCGTGTACGGGGTGTGTGACAAATGTTGATAGGTGTCACTGCCATCTTTGATTACTGCCCCAGCAGATGGGCTTTGAGTTTGGCAGGAAGCAAAAATAAGTGTAGAAAATCTCACCTCCAGAATGGCAATGGGTGGAAGGCATGTGGTCCTACACAGATACACAGCTCCCCCGGGTCGCCTTGACACATAATGAAGCATCATGGATCATATTCACTGCCTGCTGCACAACCCTCTAAGCTCCCTTTTCAATTTTGATGTGTGTTGGTATTGAAGGTTCAGTGACTGGGATGGGTTGCGAGACAAAATGAATGATTGTGATGCCAGCGCCACTTCATGTATTTTCATATAACGATAATACATACCACTGCCTCATAAAGTGTGTGCCTATCTGTCTCTCTGTCTATCTAAAAGCATACTTGCAGCTGTTACAATGAGCTGCAGGTGAGCATATGACTTGTTGCTAAGCCCTCAATCTCAGAACTCATCCGCTATCGGTTTGACAACAATAAGTCTCTGGGGGCAACAGCAAATATTTTGGGGGCTCTGGTGTAGCTAGTGGGCTAAGACTTCCTCTTCTGTGCGCTGCTCATAGTTTACAGCTCGATGAGCAACTTGAGGCAGGTCCAGACAACATTTTGGCTGTTTCGACAAACACACAATATCTGCATATGAATGTGGATGAATTAGGAAAACGGCAAATAAAAAGCTTAATTGTCATCAGACAATAGCCAAAGGGTCTCGTGACTGCCTGGCAGCCAATGCATTCTGCTTCTTTTTCTCTCCACCCGCACTGTGAACCTAAGGTAGGTAACCAAAGCCCACACAAATGTGATTGGTCAGTATTACTCGGACAACAAAGGGAAACCACAATGCTTTGGACACCAAAATCATGTCCTGTTGCCTATGGATTCTGCATACATATGTAGATATCTGTTTATAGATATAGATAGACAGATATTTTTTTTTCCCCTGGGCTGGTTTTGGGACTGTCACGGCCTGATTTCAGGGCAGCTTTTCTGAAGAATAATAATTCATGTTGAGATGTTTATGGGTGTTTTTTGCAGTTAAATAGAACTAGGAGCTTATTATAAGAATTAGTGTTTCCCACAGAACCATTCTAGTTGTGATGGCAGGGAGATGTGGAGGTGGCTGACAGCTGATTACTAATGATCAGCTATTGCTCCCGTTAAAAGCAGCACTGAAGGTCAGTCCCCACGAGCCACTCTCCTGCTGTTCTCTCTGCCCAGTTAGCACGAGCTAACACAGCAGTGGCCCCTGACATCCTACACTGTGCACTTAAATGGTCCCAGCAGTCTCACACTGACACTGAAACAGGTCCACTCGGTCGTTTAGCCCACTAGTAACTGTTGGATAATGTTAGCTGTGTGATGCTAACAGTTAGCCCTGTCACTGTGTGTGTGAAACGCTGTCCCAGGCACAGAGCTCACTCTCACACATAAGACGAGGTGGACAAGGAGGTAGTCAGTAAATCAATATGATGCACGCAGTCAGTAAATCAATATGATGCACGCAGCTCTACAATGAAATGAGATGTTTTAAAAAAATCAAATGAATGGACAGTGAATGGACAAAATTGCAAGGTGGCATAGAATGCACAGGGATTTGCTGAATTTGCGTAAATAGTTGCGATGGCAACATCTCAACATCCTGGAGGAACTGATAGACATTACTAAGCCCTGAATAAAAAGACTTGTTGTCAAAATGAGACAAGATACAACCACATCCATTTTGACTACGATCCTACCTTTGGGGTGATTCATTATCTTAGTCACTTGGCTGTTAAAGCAAAGGTTGGAGACAAACATTAGATCAACAGCAGAGTTCTTGATATTAGTGGATAAACCATGAAGTTGTGAAGTGAAGGAACCTGAAGACCAAGTAGACTGATCAAAATGGAAAGATTTTGACATAAGGAGGTGAAAATTCTAACATCCTAACATCTGAAAGCCCAGACTTTAATGACAGCCCACTTTTCAAATGTACAATTAAGTCAGCAGGGTACCAGCGGGGTCTTAAAAACTTGAAAAAGTCTTAAATTTGATAACCGTAAATTAAGGCCTTGAAAAGGTCTTAAATTTTGTTTACAAGTCTTAAATTTCATTCTCAAAGGTCTTAATTTTTCCCTTTCTTATCTGCATGATACAGCTCAACAACATAACTGTATACTAAGTAAACTAACAAAAAAAAAATCTTTGAACGTTGTAAAATGATTTTTTTCTGCGACTTTATCGATCTCCGACATGAGGTGGCGTTCCAATGCACTGTTTCAACTAGGAGGTCGGAAAATCCTGATTTCCGAGTTTTCTAGGACGCAGCATTACGTTGGCGCGTGCACAGTCAGCCGCTGACCCACCGAGGTCGTCGCTCGCGCAGCAGCTTTGGGATGGGCAAGTGCAGATTTAATCCATCGTAGCTAAGTGACTCAAAATATGACTGGGCTCAGGCTGTACCAGGGAATGAGTGGGAGGCTCAGTGCAGCCTGTGCCGTAAAAAATTCAAGCTCGGCACAATGGGACATATGGCCTTGGAGTCGCACATGAAGAGTGCTAAACATTTAGCATGCTCAGCAGCTACACGGAGGCAGGCACCCATATCCCAGTTCTGCGCGGCAAACCCAACGCTAACCTCAACAGTCACCTCGGCTGCCAGCAGCACCGAGCCACCACAGCCAGGTAACATACGAGCTCTTTGTGGCTCGACGCCAACGCTTAAGGCAGAGGTGACGTGGACACTAAAGACGATATCGGACCACCACTCGTATACGTCAAATGAAAATATAAGCGAGCTCTTCAAAGTCATGTTCCCCGACTCAGAGATCGCGGCTACTTTCACATGTGGGAGCAACAAGACTGCCTATATTACTAAGTTTGGTCTGGCCCCTTTCATCACCAAACAACTGACCGAGCAGGTCAATAAGGCGTCTGGATTTGTGGTCATGCTTGACGAAAGTCTAAACAAAAGTACAAAAACTAAACAGCTGGACATTCATCTGCGCTACTGGGTTGGTGACCGCGTCCACTCAAGATATTTTGGCTCTGAGTTCATGGGCCATGCTATGGCGGTGGACCTGCTAAAACATTTCAAAGTAAGTCCATTTGTAATACTTTTGCACACAGGCGTGCGCACGCACACACTATTGTTTATTAAAATAAGTGATTGTTATTTGTCCCTGTGTTATGCTGTTATTCTTAGTTATTCTGACAGATTTTTTTTGCATTATTTCATAAATGTATGCCAGAATAGGTGCGAGGTTGGTCTTAAATTTCATTGGTTGTGGTCTTAAAAAGGTCTTAAAAAGTCTTAAATTTGAGTGGAAAAATCCTGGGGGGACCCTGGTCAGAGTGGCCTATTGTATTAAAGGCAGACCCTGAAGTAGGAAAATCATAACAGCGTTTAAATCACCAGCAATCAGTAAATCAGTTTTAGCCCTTAGATTTTTTGAACAGGCGCGGGATTGGACATTTTTATATAATATTGGATATATACATTTCTTTGTCTGCAGTCTTAAAAACAGTTAACTTTTACTGTAGACTTGAAATGTTTAAAAATCAGTGAGTTTAGAGGAAAAGTTTATAGGAACTTAGGCCAGAAGCATACCCTTTGAAAACAAAGATTTTAACATATTTAAAACTAGAAGAGAATGAGCCATTTGAAAAAAATACAATACAAATATTTTTCATGCTGGTGTGTGCATTTTTTTTTTTTAATGTGGTAGTTTTAATAACAATTTATATCAAAGTGATAGAGGCAAACTTGAAAAAGATATATGCCATTTCTGGCAGGTCTCAGGGTTTCCCACACATTCATTTATTTGTGGCAGCCTGCCACGATAACATCTGCCGCCACGGTTTGATTTTTTTTATTCTTGGAGCTGGACCGCTCATTTAGAGTGCTGTTGCAATATACATATATCATTTGGTTGTTAATTTCACCACACTGTCGAAGCTAAAAGTGCAGTCGCAGAACGGCAGGTGCAGTGAAAGTGAAACTTAATCGTTCATTACTCTTAGTCTAAATGTTTGCATTCACTCACCTCTAAATATTCTGTTCCTCTCATCCGTTGATCTAATCAGCTCTAATCCGATCAAATGATCAGTTATCCACTCTGCATCTCAAGTTCGTCAAACTGCTGAGGAAAAAAAGAATTCCTTAAGAGTTCCACCTGTGCTGCGTTCATGGACCCACAAAATCACAGACCCAAATTTCGAAAAGGGACACAGAATGATACAAAGGGACACACACACAAAACGCCATGCCACACAAAGATTATAATTCTGTGGGAAACACTTTGCACATATTATGCGATAGTAAAATCCCTTGCAAAATTTCACACTGTTGGCTAACTTATCATAAGCACAGTGACTTCCCAAGGCAGCCTACTACAACTAATGTGAACTCTAATGAATTGTGTTATGTTAAACAATTTCCATAACAAAAGTAGTAGGCATCCCACTGATTGTCAACTTTACAAACATCATGGAGCTCCAACTATGGAGAACCACTGCATCACACAGTTTGTGTGCATAGTATCAGCTGTTTAAAAAATTGGAATGCCTTGATTACCACAATCACCATGACTGTGCACTAGAGATGCACCTGTCCAGCTTTTTCAGTTTCAATACCAATCCCGATGCTGTGGCTTTGAGTATCAGCCGATACCCGATACCGATCCGATACCATGGTTGACGTAAAAAGCTATATACCTTTACATGTAGAACAGAAAAGACTAGAGGCACCAGGCATTGATGACTACACAGTTCTTTCCTAAGATAAGATGAAACAGATTAATGCAATGATGAACTATTTATTTTTAACAAAAATAAACAATTGTGCAACAGCAGTTGAAATATAGTGAAATACCTCCACACAGCAGATTTTCTCCTTCGTTCCATGACGTATGATGTAGCTTGCGTCGCAATAGATGTAAAGGGAAAGGATCGCCTCAGGTGTAGGTTGCATTTTCCGATACCCGATCCATCTATTTTGATGATATCAGGGCCAATATTCGATCCAGATATCGGATCGGTGCATCCCTACTGTGCACCTCCAGCAAATAAACAAGCCACAAATATACTGTAGCTTAGTGCACCGTCGTGGAATCTAAGAACTGATCTTGGTGGGTGGATGTGTAGATGCAGTTTTTTTGGCAAAGTGTTCACCAAAACTACATTAACACACCTCCAACTGCACCGTTGTGCTCATCTTATGCCGGTAAAACCAAACTGGTTCAGGGTGACTAGACACAGCTGACAGAGCGTACAAAAAGTAAAAATAATGGCAGCAAAAGTTGGATTTTCAGTCACTCTCTACCCGTGTCTTCTGCCCCATCTGTATCTACTTCAGTTTGTAATTTTACAATAACTCCCAGGATTACTTTTGACAATATTTCCCCAAGAGAGCCTTGCATCCAGCTGTTGGTTTCATATGAGGAGGATATAGAGCATATTGGAGAGACACTAATAAATGTATACCATTTAGACAACAAATGAGGATGACGTGATTCATTTGATAAAAATACACCACAATATGGAAATGTATTGCTAATGAGGGAAAAATTACATAACTCCAGCCAACAGCAAAACAGAAGAAACATCACTTTAGATGGAGTGACTTTCTCCGCAGTGCTACAGCTCTGAGTCACCAGGAACCTGATACAGTGAAGCAGAAAGGTTAATGTTGAGTAAATAAACTTATATTATCATACCTCACATTAAATGCAGTAGTCGTGATATGTCATGGCTATGTACTAACTAAATGCAGTCAATAGTGTGTGTAATAAATAGTGATAGACTGTGACAAAAAAAAGAAAAAAAGAAGCAGTACCTCTGCGATTGTTGCGCGTCAAATACAGACATCAGGTCCCACTGCAGCAGCAGTATAGCAGCTGTTGAGTGAGTCTCCTCCAACTCATTACCAAACCTCCACCTGTGACTTCCACCTGGATACACCATCAGCTCCAATTTCCACTGTAGGCACCCCACCTGGAGAGCGAAACACCCACTAGGTTGTCCCCTGAGGCAGATTCAGTGTACTTCTTTGTATCCACCCAAACAAAACCATGTAGCCCTCCCAGATGACAACATATCTGCCGCCTCAAGTACAAGTACAAGTAACTTATCGTCATTAACTCACTGTTATCATTATGGCTCACTTTTTATGACTTTGTGTGTTGTATGGTTTTGGCACCTCTCTCTGTTACTGCTGAATCTTGATGTTTTCCTTCCCAATTTTTGTCAGGGTGACACAAACTATCCTGTTGAGGGCCAGAAAGTGTATTAGTTTTTCCAAGTGACAAGTTAGGTCTGTGGTCATTTTGTCGGAGGAGCGATGAGTGCTGAAATGTCTCTTTGAACCCCGCGGTCTAATAAAAAAAAAAAAAAACAGGAGAGGAAATGACTCTCTTCTCTCTCCATCACAACAGCAATTTTCTTGGGCTCGTTCCGCCTGCCTTATGAAGAGATCCGGGACATTGTGCTGGAGGTAGACGAGGAAAGACTGAGCGAATCACTCATCCAGGTAAGACTGATGTTCACTGTGGTGTGTTAGTTTTTTCACTCACACCCACACACAGACATACACACACACTCTTATTTTACCCTCTGAAACACATGTGCACCTCTGTATGTGTCACACAGAGAGAGACACTTTCTCTACGTGTTCACATGAAAAGATAATTTTTGAATTTCAGTGTCTGGCGGCTTGCTTGGCGACCCCATTTTACACCTGGTATGGTCTGCTTTTGGCACAAGTCTGTTTCCTCATTCTCATGTAGACCACAGAGACCCCCCCCCCCCATTCATCCTCTTATAATGGATGATGAAGGACAGGGCTTGGCAGAGTCTCCCCAACTCCACCCTCCTTTCCTCTTGCCTTTGTCCTAAACCATAATTGATGAGCTTCCTAAAGGCTACTTGTTTGTGCTCCCAATTTTATTTCTGTTTCTCTTGTCACAAAAAGCATTAATTGAAAGCAGGGCGGGTGCATCTGAAGTGAAGATGCATCACTGGACAGCGAGAGCCTCAATTGCACTAATATTTCCTGCACTGCCCTTGTGTTGAGCACTAAAGCAGCGCTATTGTCTTTTGTTTTATTTTTATTTCCGAAGTAGGAGGTGTAAACTTCAGGAACGAACAGCAAATGGAAGATTTGACTTTAATATAAACTTGGCAGTGATACACTGTGTTGTGCGCAAGAATGTTTTTCTCAACCAGCAGTGGGCATCGTTCAAGTGAAGCTTTCAAGCTTAAGTCCAGAGGTCATTCCTACCCTTTAAAAATAAATAGATAAATACGTTACCTTTGTACTGATATATGTGTCCTTTCCCACATGGCTTATCAACCAACACTTGCACAGAAGCTAGTCTGCTTCCTCTTCACTGCTTGGATCCTAGACGCTAGTAAAGGGTGGTGAGGCAATATATATTAAGATGGGGCCTATCTGCAGAGCTGCCCTGCAGGACTATTATTTTGAGCTCTGATAACCTTTAATTGGCTAGCAATCTGGCAGAAAGTATAGAGCCTACATTATGAGATGGCAGACCCCCCTCTGCTTTGTGAAGGAGAAAGGAAGTTAAGGTGTTGACCTTTACCACCTTCAACCCTTTTTTTCCGTAGCAAAGTAGAATCAGCCAACAAGGCAGCTGCGTCCCCGACACATCCCCGCCAGGGCCTCGTTGCACACTGCACCAGACAAATGGTCGGACTGGTTTACAGTAGTCTGGTTTGCTTCGCAGGGAAAAGAACAACCGACATTGACCAAGCCGCACCTGAGTAGTTAAAACTCTGTCCAATTTTTCAAGGCAGAGAGGAAATCTCTGAAGCAATTTACTGGTAAATACTGTGATGAACAAATAATGGCCAAACCTAACAAACAAATACAGACAAGAAAAAAAATGCCATGCATGCTCAGATAATCTCAGTGATGCAGTTACTATGATACAGTCCTCCTCTGTAACCTTCAACTTCCTTTTGTTCACCGTTAAACAAAAACCATCTGAATCAATGGTGTTCGAGAGATGACAGGTGTTCAAGGATAAGTGACAAAAATTGCTGTTTTTTGGGGGGGGGGGGGGATCTTTCCACATGCAACCATCCCTTTGTGTGGATTTCCGTTGTCCCCATTACCTTTTCCATTTCCCTCTTTATTAAATGTGAAGCAGGACAATGAGGCTCAACAAGGCTCGTGAGAGCAAGTGTGTGAGTCATCATAAGCATCTGGGAGCAGAGCTAATGTCACAGAGTCCAGGGGGAGGCGGGAGGACCAACAGAGTTAACTTATTGATGCAGAAGGAGCTCACATCTGGCAAGTGTGTAGCTGCTGCTTAGATAACAATGCTTAGGAAAGAGGAAAGCCTGGACTAGACAATTAAGGCAACACTTTCTACACACTGGTCAGTGTTTTTCCCTCCTTTGTGCTTAGTGTTTAGAATTGCTCCATTAATGTGCAGTGTTTCTCTATTTGGATTTAGTATTTTATGTACAGTAATAACACTCAGAATAAAGCTCTTACCACAGTTATTTTTTTAATTCACCCATCGTTATAATTATACACCTGGAGTTTTGCTCTTACTAATACTTCACTAGAGTATTTACAATGAGTGCATCACTTGAGAGTAAAACAAGGCTTCACAGAAACTTCTGAGTGGGAGTGTAAGATATGCCTCGTATAACCCAAGCCTAGAAGTGAATGAATTACTTGTGAGTATATGCTCAGTAAAAATGGTGCGTATATTCACACATTCTCATCCCAAGTCGTCACATTTTGCCTCTTTGTCCATTGGCTTTCACGTCTACATATTGCGTGCTACGTATCCTCCTGGGTCTGCTGTTGATGTTTCAGGACACTGCAGCCAACGTCGGGACATCAACGAAAGCGTGTGTTTAATTTTAGAAAAAAACATCATGGTTTGGCTCTACATTCTTATGGGAAGCAAACACTGGGCTCCCAGGTGAAAGTCGAGGGTTTACATGCAATACGTAGTCTATTGCATGTTAATATTGGACTGTTTTAATTATTGATGTAGCCTAGTTAAAAACACAGAGACCTGTGGTCAGTGGGATGGGAGGATTCTTAAAATAACATCTGTACAGATGGGAAACTCTGACTACATCTCACTGATCTGTAATGAAAGTTGTTGTCTTGTATTTCTTTCTGAGAACAAACTGAAATATGAGTCTGATAACGTTTTAATAAATTGACATCAAATCAAATCATCTAACAGGATGTTGGTGTTTCTGTGACTTCCTGTACGGACTGAAAGCTGCTGGAAACTGCTGGGAAAGTGTCCGACTTGACTGCGGCTTTTTGTCACCCCCTACTGCTGCAGCCACCTGCTCTCGTCCACTTTCCAGGCGAGGTGCAGTTCATTTCCAGGGTTTTCCCTGGGTTTTTTTGAGACCAAGGTGGCAAAGGCCTGTGGTGGGGGGCATCTTGACAGCTGTACTTTTAGATACAGTCCCCCCCTCTATTAAATATGAAAGGAGGCCCCCACATGCTTGAGCTTTACACTGCTGACTTGTATAATCAGAACAGACATGTCCTGTGATTTTCAGCCTTCTATGATTATATTTACCCTTCACAGCAGGCACATCCTGACAGCTGAGAATATTACTGTCAGGTATTGTCCCCCCTCTATTAAATATGAAAGGAGGCTGAAAATCACAGGACATGTCTCTTTTGATGATGCAAGTCAGTGGTCCTGAAACATGTGTTTCTCTTCTATAATACACATTCTACATCTCGGAGGTGTCATCTTTCCACATACGGACTTCCTTCGCCTTTCAAACGGGGCAGAGCTCCGTGGGAAACAGTAGGAGTTACACAACCCAAGGGGGAACCGGGATCTGTCTACACTGAAAGTAATGGGTTTGTTCATGCAAAAGATGCTACATCTGAATGCCTCCCATGCACCTACACACGCTTTAACCAAGGCGGCGGCCAAAATCACCCAGGCGGCCCGTCTTTGTCTTAGATAGACAGGGAAAACCCTTAAAACAAGACTGACGTGTTGTCAGTGCGCTAACTGGCTAACTAGTGTCAAGACAGTCTTTCGGTTTCCCTTTTTGAATGATGATTACAGACACCAGCTGACTGCTGTCAGCTGGTGTGGAGAGTTATTTGCTCTCGCACAAGTGCAGAACATACGTGCTGGTTGGCTGACAGTTGAAGTCTTTGTGGTGTGTTCATGTGCAGCTTTTTGGCCAATATACAGGCGAGGTGAGGCGGCGCAGCAGTGCCCCTTCCTTTGCTGCTAGTTCTCTGAAGTCGGTTTGGTGGGTCTGGGCCTTTATAAAAAAGTAAGCAGCAGGCATCCAAGAGACACAACCCTGAAAAAATGCAAATGTAGCAAGAAGAAACGCCAAACCAGAGTAAAACTGTGGTTGGCTTTCAGTTTCACTAGCAAGTGTGTTTAGAAGCAGTAACTGACAATCCTGCATAGTATACCTTTACTACAAGAGCTTAAGATACTCCACTTCCATAAATATCTGTTTGAACCCAGTATATGGACTGCATTTCACCATTATGGTCTTTTTTTATGATTATTTGGACTTTTATTGCCTGAATTAGACAAGACAGCTGAAGATACACAGGAAAGTGGGGAGGGAAATGCATTCATGGGATGCTGGGAGCAGTAGGACTTGGCAAATTGACAATATGTCCACTAGTTCATATTACTGAATTTGCTCTCATTTTATTTTGGAGTCTGTTCCTCTCTTTTGAAGCATATTTGCATTTTTTCCAGCAATATCAGTCAAAGCTTGTCTGTTTTCCTTAATCTTTTTTTATATGAAATGTTATCTTTCAAAGGAACTGATCTTTAATCAGATTTTTTTTTTTATGCCACACAGTTGCCAGGGTGGCTTTTTGCTTCCCATGAAGAAAAACTGAAAAGCCTCAGTTTTTGTATGTGTGTTTGACCGACAGCACAATTAGCTCCTAGGTTTTTACAACAGCATAAACGCTTTTTTTTTTTTTTTTTTTTTTGAATATACGTAATATTGTTAGGTGCCATTTGGCAAGAAAGGTCTAAATATTCATTTACATGAAAATGTCAATGATTGTATACATAGACAATTTTCCTGGTGAAAAAAAAAAGTGTTAGATGATTATAGAACAAAATCTCACAACTTAAACAAGGAAGCAAGCGGCACACGCCTGAGAAATACAGTTAGAGCTACACAGAGGCACTGAAGGGGAGCAAAGAGACTTCCTGCTGGGTGACACAGTCCTGAGTGTGGGCTCCATCTGCACAGTGCTCATCTACACTCATTATGCTGATTAATCACTCTACACCACCCACTTTCAGCCACACGCCAATCACCATTTATCCACATGGACAACTGCACACACATACAGAGTAGGATGACGTGTCTGCATGGCTTGGGCAGCACTCAGAGGAAATGCATTTATTCTACCATCTTGCTTCTGTTAGGAGGAGTGGGTGATTATGTGGACCTAAAATAAGGGTAAATACATAGGGGAGATGAAAAAGTGAAGGAAAGGGACTTGTTTGAATA